AAAGATTATGGAGAATAATATAGCCTTAGCAAAATATTTAAAGAGCACAATTTTTAAAACCACAGAAAGTAATTAATTTTTTTTTACTTATATTTTACAAACATTTTATTTTTATCTCTTTTGTATTGTATGTTTTTTGTATTTCTTTGTATTTATGTTCCTTACCATACAAAAACCCTCTGAAGGTTTTTAGTAGTGTAATAAAGTTATTATTATTATTCATTACATGAAAATTTAAACTAATTGTTTTCATCACTTTTTTCATGATTTTCATGCACCAACAGAATGATGGAAATGGGCGCAAGTAGGAAGAACCACAGCTAAATTTGAGTAATATTTATTGATGCTACATTGACTGTGTATTACTCTACTGTAAACAAAAGTAAGAAGACGTTCTGTAACAGGGTTTTTCAATATTTTCGGATTTTACAAAACTGAAAGCCAAAACTTTTGTTTTTTTTCACCACTGATCTATTAAATAGGCACTCTGCAATTTCTGAGAAAAAACATTAAACAAAATCATCAAGACCAGTTTCATGTTTTAGGCTTTTTTTTGATAAAACGTTGATTAGCACTGAACAGGGGAAAGTTTCACTGACTATCATTTGCACAATGAAGTTAGTTTCCCACTCAGCCAATGAGAAGATCGCTTACAGTTTCATGCACAGTGGTTTCATGATGTAACCAGTATTCTCCACTACATCATCCGCTATAAAAAAATGTTGACACTAATGACAGTATTTTTCTTTTAACACTTTATTTTGAAGTTTGTCTGTGTAAATTATTTATGCGTTGTCTTTACAAGGGTGTTTGTAGAGTAATAAATTAAATTTATCAATAACAAATTAACATAAAAAATTTCAAAAGACGTATATACACTGGAGGGAAGTGTTTACAATAAATTAATAGTTATGGTGCCGCGGTCTTCCGCTAAAACTATTTTGTATGGCGGCCAGAAGGCTACAGAGAAAATTTAGACTTACCGTGAACTTGAGCCCATATATGAAATTAAAAAAAAGTTTTACGGATGGAATACAATATTTTCTCTCGTGTCTGTCACATTGCACGATGAACTTTGAAGGCGACAAGGAGGTGCTTATTACACTCAATTAGAAAGTGGAGCAGGCAGGCACTCTGATTTGATCCACTAGCTTACTGTAAATTAAGTCGCGAAAAGGGTCATCTGGGGTCACAGTCCTTCAACGGGAATTCAACAGATGTTCGACAATTTCAATAGTAGATATACATTAAACTAAATTTACTGAATTTGTATTTTGTTGTACGTTTGTTTGAATGATATAATACACCCGAACGATCTTTTTTTTTACGTCCAAAACCAAAAAACAAGAAATGATCATCATTGGCCAGGCCACCTAGGGAGTAATATCATTCCCAGAATCCCCTAGGCTTCCATGGTGATAAACAACATGGCGGACGCCATCGTTATTATTTCTTAATTGTTGTTTTTCATCAGGGTTACCTTAAAATACGAGTTGGTTAGTGTATTTATCTCAATGTGAAATACATGCACTTTCTTTTCAGCGTCATAAGGGTTGTTGTGCTCATTTCTGTGAGTCCAGATAACATAGTAAAGGTAATTTAATTTAACATTATTTTTAAAATCTTGGTAAATATTGCTGAGCGAAATTGGACGATTTCGATCCAACTCACACCAAAACCAACTCGCACCAGACCAACTCGCACCAATGCTAACTCTCACCAATGCCAACTCGCATCAAACCAACTCGCCCAAGATCATATTTCTAAGCATTTGTGTGTTTCGCCATGTCCCGGGCTAGGGACGTTTCTTGGATAATAAAAAATGACCTAAAGTAGGCATAGTTAGTCGATGGACGTACTAGAGAGTAATATCAGGGATATCGTATTTTAAGTAAACATTACCAAATGGAGAATTGTTTATTAATGTTTTCTCTAGTGTAGACAAATATATTTGTAGTATTTTAGCTAATTTTGTTTTTCAGATTTTAAAATTATTTTAGATTAGTTGTGATACTGTATGTTTCTTACGTTGGACTTTACTCAAGCATTGTTTTTGTGTACGTTCCAAATAAAATATCCTATCCTATCCTATCCTATCCTAGAGATGGACGCTGCACGGTGTTTACTCGCTTTGATGTATGTGTGTTGCCGCCACCAGATTACTGTTAATCCAGATCGTGTCTGCATAATTTCCTGTCCACAGGGAACGATGACGAACACGCCCGATTATAGCTCGGTTCATCTTCGCTTTGTCCCGAACGCCCCCGACGATCTGTTTATGATCGTCAAGAGAAAACAAAATGGCAACGAACAGGCAACAGAAAGTTTGGTTTCTGTACAAACATGCTCGTAAACTTGCTT